CTTGGGGCTGGAGAGATGGCTCAGAGGTTAAGAGCACCGACTGTTCTTCCAGAGGTCCTGAGTTCAATTCCCAGCAACCACATGGTGGCTCACAACCATCCGTTATGAGATCTGGTGCCCTCTTCTGGTGTGCAGACAGACATGGAAGCAGAATGTTATATACATAATAAATAAATAAAATCTTTTTAAAAACTTATTTAAAAAATTTGCAGCTTGATCAGAAACCAGTCTTGCTGTCGTTCCTTGTTCTCCCTGGCCCTATCTTACTAGGTTCTTTGGTGATTGCAGCACATCGGGGTGTGAGCTCGCGTGGTACCCCGCACCCAGGTGGGGGCAGGCAGCCAATGTGGGAAACTCCTTAACACTGTGTCTAACATAGCTCCTGAAACTCAACATTTTAGAAAAGCCTTAGAGCAACAGGTGATGTAATCATTTGCTCTTAACAGATGAGCTGAACATTTTTGGGTTTTTGTTTTAGTTTTTGTTTTTATTTGTTTGTTTGAGACAGGATCTCCCTTAGTAACTCTGGCTGTCTTAGAAATCATTCCATAGAGCAGGCTGGCCTCAAACTCACGGAGCTCAATCTGCCTCCTAAGTGCTGTGATTAAAGGCGTGTTACGATAAATCTTTCCACCAAAAGCCACCCAGCCCCACTGCCACGTGTGTGCTTTACGCCAGCTGCCCGCCCGAGTTAGGGCCCCAAATAGTACACAGAGACTTATATTAGGTGCAAATGCTGCTTGGCCAATAACTAGGATTTCTCATCTGCTAGCTCAGTCTTAATTATCATAAATCTATATATTTTGTAAGACTTATCTTATCAGACATCTTCCATTGGCGTCCCTTGTCGGTGGATCACATGGCGCCACTGGAGGAGGCAAAGGGGAAGGGGGCCACTTCCTGCTTGTCCTTCCTTAAATATGAGTCTCCTTGCTATGTCACTTCCTGCCTGGATCACCACTTCTTTACTACATTTCCCAGAATCCTCTTTGACTCCTAGTCCCATCTAACTTGCTTCCTCATTGGCCAAACAGTGTTTTATTCAACAATCAATAAGATAAACATACACAGAAGTACATTCCCCATCAAAGGCGTGTGCCAACATGCCCAGCTAGGATGAGTTGAACTTTTTGATGAAGCCGTCTACCAACACTGAAACCCCATCATAAGCATCTGGAGAGGTAAAATGTCCCATGCCTTCCAGGCAGGTATGATGCACATGGAAGCCACCCTTCCACAATTCTTGATAGTCTCCCTTGCCCAAACTAAATCACTGCCACCTTCTTTCATTGAAATAGCTTCCCCTTGGGCTGGAGAGATGGCTCAGGGGTTAAGAGCACTGGCTGCTCTTCCAGAGGTCCTGAGTTCAATTCCCCGCAACGACATGGTGGCTCACAATCACTTTTAATGAGATCTGGTGCCCTCTGCTGGCCTGCAGGCAGAAGACATAATAAATAAATAAAATATTTTTAAAAAATTCTTTAAAAGAATAAAAAAAAAATTTATCATCCATATAAACCCATGAAGACATTTCGATCTCAGTGACCAACATATTCAGAAGTTGTTGTATTTCTGCATAATTCCCCTGTGGTCCAAGGCTTTCAAGTGTCCAAAGATTATCTTTGCTTTTTTTTAAATTTTGCTGTTTTATGAGTGTACAGGTTTTGCCTGTGCCCCACATACATGCCTAAAAGAGGGCACCAGATCCCCTGGGGTTGGAGTTATGAATGGTTGTGAGTCATCGTGTGGGTGCTGGGAATTGAACTTGAAACCCCCACAAGAGCAAGAAATGCTCTTAACCCCTGAGCCAACTCTCCGGCCCTATTTGCATTTTTTAAAACTGAGTTAGTTTACAGTTTTCATAGCTATTATGAATTGATCATAAGGTACCAACCTTTAAAAATCTGTTTTTAAATTATATTTTATATGTATGAGTGTTTAGACGTCATGTATGTATGTGCACCAAACGCATGCCTGGCATCTGTCCAAGGTCAGAAGAGGGCTTTAGATCTACTGCAACTGTAGATAAAAATGTTTGTGATACTGAACACCAAAGCCGTGCTCTCCAAGAGCATCCGGTATTCTCTTTTTTCTTTTTGCAGATTTTTTTATTTGAATTAGAAACAAGACTGTTTTACATGACAATCCCAGTTCCCTCTCACTCCTGTCCTTCCCTACCAACCCCCCCAACTAAAACCCTACCTATCACATATCCTTTCTGCTCCCCAGGGAGGGTGAGGCCTTCCATAGGGGGTCTTCAGAGTCTATCATATCCTTTGGGATAGGGCCTAGGCCCACCCCCGTGTGTCTTGGCTCAGGGAGTATTCCTCTATGTGGAATGGGCTCCCAAAGTCCACACCTAGAGCATCCAGTATTCTTAATGCTGGACTGTCTTCAGCCCCCATTTTCTTCTGTTTTTCTAAATAAGCAAATCACATTTCAATTCATTAATGTTACTAATCAAACTAAGAATTATTCTCCTTTATAGATGTGTCAGTCCTAATTCATATTAGTAGTCTGGTGAATCATTTCCAGTTTGGTACTGTTAACAAAGTGCATATACATACAGTTTTCAGATGTAGATGTTTCATCCTCTTTGTTGTGACTTAAACTAGCTGTATCCTTGTAATCTCACCATCAGCATGGATACATACACACTGCCTCCTAAGCTTGTCCATTGTTTCTTTTCCGAGACAGGGTTTCTCTGTGTACCCTTGGCTGTCCTGAAACTTACAAAGATCCACCTGCCTCTGCCTCTCAAGGGCTGGGTTTAAAGGCGTGCACCGCCACCACCCAGCAAGTTTGCCCATTCTTGACAACCGCAATCCCTTTGGGGTGGTGAGCTGTATACGATGCCAGCTGACTGTGGTTTTAATTGAATTTCTATGATGTTGATAGTTTTCCTGTTTTACCACCTGTATACTTTTTCTCATAAAATATTAATATCATTTGTCTGCATTTAAACTGTATTGGCTGATAATCCTGTTTTTTTCTAAAATGTAGAAGACATTATAACTAAGAAATAACAACCAGTTGACCAATCAACACAGGGCAAACCCTCCAAGCCTGGAGGCACACCAATCCTGAGCCTGTGTGTACCCCTAGACACTCCCCTAATGCTGCCCTACAAGATCTCTATGAAGCCCCTAGGAGCTGTCTTTGCTAGCCATCTGCCATGGCGGGTGGGTGAAAGACCCGAGCTAACATGGGGTTAGCTCGTTAAACAACAATAAAGCCTCGTGCAGTTTGCATCAAGCTTTCGACTCCGCCTGGTGATTGGGGTGACCGAGGTCCTGAGCTGAGATCCTGGAGGCCTAAGCTTCTGAGGGTTTTACAACACCATACTAAAATTTCACAGTACAGTACCCACCTACAGGGTTCCAGGCTATCTGCAAGTGACCAGTGATCCTGTTTCCTCCAGCCTTGGAGCTGAGGACCACTCTTGGGCCTGGGCCCGATTCTGGGCCACTGTCTTATGAGGGAAGATACTCATTTCCATCACCCAGTGAGATGTACCGGGGAGGGTGCTGTGTTGCTTGACCCCTGTCATCTTGGGCGTGAAATGAATCTCACCTCAGCCTTTACTTACCCTTCAGAGTGGATTGCTGCTATTCCTCCCCCTGGGACATAATCATAAGCAGGTCCCTTTGCTGCCTTGTCCAGAAGATCTATTCACACTTTCCTTTATGGGTTAAGAGAGGAAGGTTGTGTGTCTCTCGAGGGCCCAGGTTGGTCCTCAAGTGCCCAGGATGGAGTTTGAATCTGACACTTAAACCTCACATCCTGTCTCTTCAGAGTTTGCTGACAGACGTGGAAGTAGAGATTGTTCATATTCTATGCTGGAAAGCAGCAGACTCAGACAGAGCAAGAGGAGCCAGGTTGCCACTGACAACAGCCAATTTGTTTTGTCTGCCGTGCAGGCCTGTGAGATGGCTCTATGTGTGTACACACCCACCACCGAGCCTAACAACCCGAATTCAATCCCTGAGACACACAGAGCGGAAGGGGCGCCAACCCCCACTAGTTGTACTGTGGGCCACCACACGAGCGTCATGGCTCGCTTGCACGCGCACATATACACACATGCCTAGAGAAGGGGCTCAGAAGTTGAGAGCACTCACTGCTCTTGCAGAGGACCTGTGTTTAGTTCCAGCACTCTTGAGGAAGAGCGG